AGAATACTTAAACCTTTAGGACACCATACTAACAAAAATACGAATACTTAAACCTTTAGGACACCATACTAAACAAAACGAAATACTTAAACCTTTAGGTACACCATCTAAACAAAATGAATACTTAAAACTTTGGACACCATCTAAACAAAATGAATACTTAAACCTTTGGACACCATCTCAACAAAATGAATACTTAAACCTTTGGACACCATCTAAACAAAATGAATACTTAAACCTTTGGACACCATCTAAACAAAATGAATACTTAAAACTTCGGACACCATCTCAACAACATGAATACTTAAACCTTTGTACACCATCTAAACAAAATGAATACTTAAACCTTTGGACACTATCTAAACAACATGAATACTTAAATTTTTGGACATCATCAGAGCAAATTAAATATTTAAACCTTCCAAATGAATATAGTTTGCTTAAACATTTGGACAACATCTCAGCAAAAGAAATATAGTTTCTTTAAACCTCAGACACCTGCACATGTAAATAACCATGAACACATTTGAAAGACGGTGTGAGATTGATCAGGACAGATGAATGTGTCGGATACTTTCTCTAAATATCAAGATTTCTGAATGTTTGTTCCATTTGCTATGGGACTCGCTAACATGTTTGGGATTTTCACTTTCGAATTTAGCAGAATTTTTAATGCAAATAACTGACAAGTATACAATACCTATTGTAAAACTTAAGGAATTAAATCAAGAAAAAATACAAAAAAATAAAAAAATCAGAATATAGTTAACACCTTAACTTTACACTTGTTGAATAAATATTTAATACCACTATGTCCAAATGAGAAGAAAAGAACACATCATCATATAATTAACACCTTAACTTTACACCTGTTGAATAAATGTTTAATACAGCTATGTCCAGATGAGAAGAACAGAACACAGCATCATATACTTAACACCTTCACTTTACACCTGTTGAATAAATATTTAATATCGCTATGTCCAAATGAGAAGGAAAGAACACAACATCATATAGAAAACACCTTCATTTTACACCTGTTGAACCAACATCTTATAAAGCTATGTCCAGATGAAAAGAACAGAACACAGCATCACATAGTTAACACCTTTACACCTGTTGAATAAATATTTAATACAGCTATGTCCAGATGAGAAGAACAGAACACAGCATCATATAGTTAATACCTTCACTTTACATCTGTTCAATAAATGTTAAATACAACTATGTCCAGATGAGAAGAACAGAACCCAGCATCATATAGTTAACACCTTCACTTTACACCTGTTGAACCAACATCTTATACAGCTATGTCTAGATGAGAAGAACAGAACACAGCATCATGTAGTTAACACCTTCACTTTACACCTGTTGAACCAACATCTTATACAGCTGTGTCTAGATGAGAAGAACAGAACACAGCATCATGTAGTTAAGAACTTCACTTTACACC